TTTTTTTTAAATTAAATTTAAATTTAAATTCTTAAATTAAAATTAAAATTTAAATTTTTAAATTAAAATTTAAGAATGTTTGAGATTAAATTAAGAAAAATTGGGATTGAAATTTTTAAGGTTAGCGGGATTGAATCAAGAATTTTCGAGATTGAAAAAATTAAGTATGTTCGTTCTTATATTAAGAAAATCCAAACTTAGCTCGAAATCATGCCCACTTGGGATTGATTTTGGCGACTTTATCCCGGATTTTTTTTTCTGTGCAGAAATATATATAAAAGAAACATATTTTTTGTTAAATTTAATTTAAACCAGAATTTTCAAATAATTTTAATAATACATATATACTCATTAATTTATATAATTCTCTATTTAAATTTTGATAATATTTATTTTTTAAATTTAAAAATATTTTTTACCTTTAAATTATTTATTATTCATACCATTTAAATTTTAACCATATTTTATGACCCAAAAATATTTGAAAAATTATTACTCACTAATTTAAACAATTCCTAAATCTTTTAAAAATTTGCAAATATTTTTAACCTACTCTTTTTTCTCTCAGTGGCTTAAATGTCATGTCGGTGTGTCAGCTCTCTGTGTCTTGGCCAACACGCAGAACCTTGGCCACACCTACGACCCGACCACGCCCACCACAAAACGCCCCCATAAGCTTAAGGCAAAAAAAGGTCGAAAAAAAAATAGAAAAGTAGAGTAAAAGTGATAGAGAAGACGAAAATGGAGAGGCAAAAATGAGGAAAACAACATCCGACTAACTGATTAAATTTATGCGCTCTTTGCATACGAATTCGGAAGGCGAGCCAGAAAAAAAAACCAAATTAGGCAAGGCAATTTGGCCAAAGGACGAGGTCTAAACTAATTGTTTCTCCTAGGAGGAGGGAGGTAGGTTTTAATAGCCCAAACTCTTGACGGTAACCAAACTTGACATAACAGGGCTTCAGGCGGTATACTTAATCGCCGCCAATATAACTTGTTCTTGAACTTGACCAATTTCAACCTTAATCGTAGACCCTATCTGAGGCCTTGAGAGCATTCCGAAATGTTTATCGATTTCTAATTATAATATTTTATCGAAAAAATTCTTAAGACTGCCGTAAGTAAGTACGGGCATTAAAATATAAATACAATAATTACTTATTTCAAAATGAATCGTTTTTTAAGCTCAAGAAAAGGTGCTTTAAGTTCAGGGAAAAAGAAAAATTATAAACTGGTAATGGAAGAGATATCTAAGGGATCTGCGGGTTTCATTTATATAACTTAAACTTAAAATAAAGTTAGCTTATTATATATAATTTATTTTTTTAATGTTTCAAACTTTATATTTCTAAAATATACATTTATAAATGTTTTAAACTTGAAAACTTTCACTTGAAAATATTTTTTATTAATTATTATATCTAAACTCCAGATTAAAATACCCACCCGAAATTCCGGAAACTTTGATAAAAAAAAACTGCTGAAATATTCAGTGGGTTTTTGGATTTATCTGTCCCATCCACACACTTGTTGATTTAAGCCCCGTTTTTCACTTTTTCTCTCCCCCACTAAGACACTTGTCACTCGTCAACTCTCAAATTTTAAGCCTCACAGCTGGCAGCCATTGTGTGTCAGCCAAAAAATACCAAAAAAAAAAAAAAAAACAGGAATACAAAAACGAGAACACGACAAACTGAAGAATATAAAAATTACCCAACATATCCAAGAAGCTTATAGTGTTTTCAAATTCTTGTTTTTCTTCCCTTTTTTTTTCGTGGTCCCAAAGTATTTGCAAAATAATAAGCAGTAAGCCGAAATTTCCTAAGAATTGGGCGTCGTAACAATAACAATAATAAGAGCGTAGAGTACCACGAGTCGACATAAAAACAGAAACAGAAACTGACAAGAACAAGGCGTAATTGTATGCCTCTCTCTTTCGTCACGCCTATTCCTCTCTCTCTCTCTTTTTCCTGCCCCTTTGTGGGTGGCTTATGGGCCAAACATTTATTTGTGTGACGGTGCGTACATATAATATAAGTCACGTCGAGCATATCAACATCAATGGCCACAAAGCGCAGCATATCAATATACATAAATACAGGGTGTCCTTTGAGGAATTGGTCAAGAGACTTCAGTAGCTTAAACAACTATATATACATTTTATATATATTTTTCATTAAAAAATATATCATATCCATAATTGTGATCAGTTTGGATTTGAACTTGAAAACGAAACAAATTCCAAAGTCCGCAGGGTACAGTTTTAGCATTATAATTCTGGTGTTGCATTATATTTCTCAATTGGAAAGTTTGCAGGATAGTTGTTGAAGTTACTTAGCATCGGTTACTGTTGGAAAAGAATTGGCTTCTTTTTGAAAAATCAGTAAAGTAACAAAACCAACTTTAGTTGTTTGTATCACACAATTTTATTTTCTGTAACTGTAGTTACAAGAGTTGCATCTAGAAATCCAAATATAGCCAAAATGGGTATCGTACATCCTTAATTTCACATTAGTTTTCGGTCGGCAATGTAGTATGTAGTTTCTATTGCCAAAATAGACTTAAAATGGTCAGGGGGGGCATTTCGGGATCAGCTCCCCTTCTAAAGCCCAAGATTAAGATGAGAGGAATGAATCCCCAGCGGACTGTGGTCTCCGCCACGTTAATCACAGCTCTCACACGCTCCTTGGTTTCCTCAGAAAGCTCCATTTTTCGTATATATAAGATTTTGTTTTCTTCACGAACTCTGGAATGAAAGTCTTGATCAAAAATAAAGTTTTGGTAAAAATCGAAAAAAATGTGGAAAAAGAAAATACTTGCCTTTTGTTAATTTTATGCTGACAACCTGTTTGTCTGACTACCGGGTGGATTCCGATAATACTGGAAAATATAATGAGGTGGCATTGATTCCAAAGAGGAAATGTTTGTTTTTAAAAAAATACAAAAGGCAACATGATCTTTAAAAATATATGTATATATTAAAAATATTTTTTGGCTATGATCACCCTGTATTTGCGTCTCACTCTCGCTGGCATCCTCTCACGCACGCATGTAGTACATACATATGAGTATGCCCTTTGTTTTGCCGAATTCTGCTGCTGATTCTTCCCTTTGCCGTCTCTTTCTGAAGCTGCTTTCCTTGTCTGAAGACGAATGTCACTTTCATGCATTCGCTGTCCCTTTCACGGGCCCCATTTACCCCACTGACAACTCACTCTGTCTCTCTCCTTTGCTTTCTCTCTCTTGTTATGGTGTTGCTTTCATTTGAGAATCGCGCCTGTCATTTGTTTGCAATGCCAGAAAATGAGGAAGTGGTTGAGGAGAAAAGGGGGAGGATTATGTTGAGAGGAGGGTAGGAGTGAGAAGGAGCAAAATAAGATGAAGGTGCAGAAGGCAAAGGGAAGAAAGAAGTGGAACAACAACAGCAACAGTTGTGCCCATTGTATTTCGTTTGCATTGCTGTTTGCTGCTTGTTATTGTTTTCCATTCCAGCACTCTTTTTTAGGGAGACTCTAGATTTTCTTGTTTAGTTCAAAATTTGTATATTAAAAATACAAATATGAGTTTCCCTTAATTAGTATTAAGACATCAAAGGACTTGGTGATAATAAATGGCTTCCAAAAGTCTGTCATGTGCCTAACATTTTTCAACAATCTTTCAACAACAATGGTTTAAGCTATAAATATTTGTATTTTTATATTTTATTTGTTGGTATCACACAAATTAAAAACGAAATATTAAATTGTAGTATCTTGAAGGACTTACAAGCAATAAATGGCGCCCAATTATGAGTCAATGTTCTTAATTTTTCAACAATCTTTCAACAACACCGGTTTAAACTATAAATATTTGTATTTATATATTTTATTTGTAGGTATCACACAAATTAAAAACGAAATATTAAATTGTAATTATTTGAAGCACTTCCAAGCAATAAATGGCGCCCAATTATAGGTAAATTTTTCAATAATCTTTCAACAATGATGGTTTCCAATGGAAATATTATATTATTAAACAAATTCTTAAAGAAATAAATAAAAAAAAATCCCTAATTTTAGTAACACTAAAAAATGGTTCTACTTTTGTGGAAGAGTATTCACCAAACCTCACTTGTCGTTGAAGGGGAGCCCTCAATTCTTGGGCTATAACCATTTTTATGTGCTCGAATTGCTGATGGGTTTTGGGTTTTTGCTTCGACGGCGGCCAAGGAGGTCTCCGATTCGAAATGGGAACGGGCCTGGAGATTGGAATGGGACCTTGATGGCTGTTGCTTTTTGCTTGCGTGGTCTTTCAACTTGTTGCTTTTTATTGCAGCTCATATATGAGTACATTTCTGTATGTAATTGTATTGTGTGTTTGTGTGTGTGTGTCTCCTGGCTTGGTGGCAACTTTAACCTTTCACCCTTGGAGCAACAACAATGTACAACGACGAGGCCAACGAGTAATCAAGCTAACCGATTCAGTGCACTCCAAATACGCCATTAAATTCGCTGTCCTTTCACTTTCTTCCGTCTCTTTTTAGTACATTTTGGTTAAGAAATTTATGTTGAAAAATGTTTTCAAGACCAAGAACTTCCATATGGTCTTGGAAATTAAGACTTGACTTGGGTAAATTCAGATTAAGAATACTTTAAATTATATTTTCATTCACTAAATTGAATGAAGTGGTATATATTTTTAATTATATATTTATATTTTAATGCTTAGTCAAGCTCTTAAGGATCATCTTGATGTTAAGCACGAGCTAAAGCTGTCCAAATTGAATTCCGTAGGCCCTTTAAAAACTTAATGAATTTTCATTTAAATAAAAAAACAACTATTTGTTGTATTTATGCAATTTTATACCATAGCCGGGTTATATATTTAATTTTTGAATATAACGATCCTTGAGGATAGTAGAAAGTTTGGGGAAAAAAAAATTCAATGCCGCCTCTCCGGATCAGTTGGCTTTTCATCCTTCTAAACCGGGTCCTGTTCCTTGTGTCCTTCGTGTCCAGTGTCTAACCCCTGTTGCGCCTGCGGGCGGCCCTCCTTCTGGCAGCACGCCTCTTGCGGGCGGCGGCCCTCCTTTTTGCGGCCCTCCTCTTGGCCGCAGCGCTCTTCTTGGAGCTGCTTGAGCTGCCGCTGGAGCTACTGACGCTGGAGGTGGTGGCGCTATCGCTGCTTGTGCTAGCTGCTGTGGTGTCCGACGTAGAGGATGAGGACGCAGTGGTGCTGGTGCTGGTGCCACTAACTGTGGTGGTCGCTTCGGTACTGGTGGTTGAGGTGCCGGTGCTGTGCGTATAGCTAAAGGCACAAACCAGGACGACTGCCAAGAGCAGCCAGTGGAGCTTCATCTTGATGCTTTTTTGGTCTTCGGAATGTGGAACTTCTCTGCCATTTCTGGGCTACTGGATGGCCCATTTATAGGCCGATTCTCTGCGTCATTGAGATGAAACAATGGCGCCAGCAAAACACGATTAGTTAAACAACACCAAGAGTCGCGAAAAAAAAGAATAATACAAAGTATTAATGCCAAACAGCGTGGTGTTTTAGCCATATTTGCACAAATGTCAACTATTTGCAAAACGCGAAACTCCCAAAAAAAATTCAAACCAAACACGCGCCAGTCCATGTCTTGCTACTACTATTCTCGGTACTATTTGCTCGATTATATATTTAGTCTGGGCTTAAGTCTCTCTGGTCTACAACTGGGGGAATCTTCATTCATCGATTTGGAAGCCGCATCACCGATTCCATTGATCACAAGTGTGTGTGTTTTGAGTGTGTCTCTGTTGTCTAAAAATCAGCAAATATTTGCCAAGATTTCGAAGCTTTGTTGCCTTTTTTTTCTGTGCCATTGAACATGAACTTTGCTTAGAAAAAATTTAAAAAAAATGAAAAGTATATAAAAGAGAAAGGAAAAATCTAGCCATAGCTTAACCTTAAATTCAACCTTTCTTGTTTTTTTTTTTTTGCTTAACAAACAGTCTCTTTCTCTTTTGTGTAAAAGAACGAAATTCGCAACATATGGTTTGAGACCATTCTTTTTTTTTCAGCCAACACATCACTTTTCAGGCAGCAAAATAAATTTAAAGACCTAAGTTTAACTTCAACTTTGTACTTTAACATTTTGAATTGTTATAATTTTTGTTAGAGAATATTTTCCACAATTTGTAAACAAGTCTGTAGTAAATATTTAAATATTCAGCTGCTGCTGCAGCCGCTGCATTTTTTGTGCAAATTTATGCCAAGCGCCAAAGCGCTTTTAGTAATTGTTCCGCTCGAGCGCAGCTTTTCCTCTTTCCCCTTTTCCCGGGGGGAAAAACGGAAGTGCAAACATGGCCAAATGGAAAATGGTGAGCTCTATCCAGCATCCAGCATCTAGCATATTGTGTGGGACTTTACTGAAGGGAAGCTAAGTTAAAGTTTTCCGCTTCCTGTCCGACTTTTGGCCAATTTTCCTTGGCTCAATCACTGGCTACTAGTTGAGGTTGCTGTTGCTGCCGTTGTGGCGACTGGCTTTCCATCAATTAGCATCAATCAATCAACGTGCATAATTAAATTGCTCATTAGGCGCCAAAGTAACAGCGGCCAGAGCCTCCATGGGTGGTCTCAGCTTCCTGCGGCAGCTGCTTGGAAAATCGAGTGCGAGCATCCTGTCGCTGCCAGGATAAATCAAAATGTGCCCACACACACACACATATGTACACCATATGGCTCTGATGTGTTGGTATTTGCGTATTTAATTGGCCCAAACAAATGCGGGCAAACTAAAGGAAAATTTACATGAAAGGCAATAGAAAGTGGAAAGTTTAAGAGCTTAAACGTTTAATTTGATTCAAAGAAAACCGTTGCCGGGCTAGTGACTTAATTAAGCCGCAGGAACTTTAACTTTTACAGCCTTGAGCTAATTTATTTTAACTTTTATTTCACTAATACCAAGGCAAGTGGCAAAAGCCAAAAAGGAAAAAAAGAAGTTTACTATTTTTACACAAGTTTATTACTAAAAATGTAATTAAAAATAAATTTATGAATTTACTAATAAGAAAGAACTAATCCCTTAAGTTATTTGGCTTAAAATTCTTAAATAAATAAATAATAGGAAATTTCATAAATTATTGTTCTTAACCCTATTAACTTATTTCGACTAAAAGTCAAACCAATTGAGCTGAAATAAAACATAAATCCAAAAGCAACGAACCAAAGTCCAGAACTAAGTCATATCTTCGTTTATTATTTTTTTTAGGGGGTTAGGGAAATGAAACAAGGTCAGTAATGTCCACATTCCCTCATCCATCCCTCATCGGAGTTGCGTCCACAACAAGTCGCTGTTTTCATTTGATCCATTGTGAGGGACTTCGAACAAAATTAATGGCATTCGCTTGTTTGTTTTTTATTGTGTTTTCCATCTTTTTTTTTTTTGTTTTTTTTGTTTTGTTACTGGACTTCCTGGCATCAATCAATAAAATAACTCGACACGAGTTGGCAGGGTCAACTCTCAATGCAGCAGGGCCACACTGGGGAAAATAAGAAGGGAGGGTCACACTGAATTTATAAAAGAATTATCTTATTAATAATAAATTTCTTGTAAATAGTTTTTAATTAATAAATAAATCTTAAATAAAAAAATATGAAAGTTGTTAAATTCCAAATGGTTTTAAATTATTAATTAATAAAATTAATAAAATATTAAATAATAAACAGACTGCATAAGGTCACACTACAATCCTATTATTAACATATCTCCAGTATTAAATAATTTAAAATTAATTTACTCTGCAAGAAATCCCTAAATTTCAAATAAAAACAAAAATTAAAAAATATATAAATTACAGTTCCTAGAAATCCCCATAGTTTCTCTATGTCCAGCTCTTGGCCATTGGAAAGTTGCTTATCAGGGAACACGCACACACTCCCTCTCGCACGCATCTGGAGTAGATCCTGGGGAGAAACTCCGAGGAGGATGTGGCAAAAGGATATGTGGGGCCCCATTGCGTATTTGCTGCATCCCCGGAGCGTCTCTCGAATTATTTGCCATCAAAACGCTATTGATTTATTAATGCCGCTCATCATTCGACGACAAGTCGTCGAGCTCTGGGAGTTGAGTTCAGTTCCTGCCCGCATCATAGACATTAATTTTGCAAATGTCTCAATAAAAATCAATAATACATATAGGAATTTGTGCGTGCTTTATGACTCTATCAAGTAGATTGGGCGACAGGAAAAAAAATGATTCGTTTGTTAAGCAAAAAATTATTAAGGCAATTTTTTGCTTTATTTTTATGCATTAAATTGCTCTCGATTTGGACCAATTGAAGTAGGAATTTTATTGCCTGAAATTTCACACTTGTTCATATTTTTTATATAGTCTTTTTTGTATATATTTTTATGGCAATTCGATGTTATTTGGTTACTATAAAAATTAAATAATAAAAAAACAGATGGCTGTAAGAAAAATTAAGAGACTTTACTACGTTTTACGTTTTAGTAATTTGCTTACATATTTTCTATTAATTTAATAAGAAAAAGTTGTGAAAAAAAACTGCAGAAATAATCTTAAAATTACTTAAATAAATATTCAAATATAGCTAGTTTAGAGACTTGTTTTAAAGTTAATGTTCTGCCACCCCTTTCCCACCAGTTGCTGGTTAATATTTGCATACTTGGGGGCTCACTCCATGGAGACTCCAAAAACTATGCTACATTATTGCAAAAAATAGAGTTCCTTGCGTAATGGCAACTATTTAGAGTCGAGTTAAGTTGTTTCTGGCCCGTTTGCTCAGCGGTTTTTCTGGGCACCTGACGCGTCTTTTGTTATGAAAATGGTTGTCGTCATTTTTAGTTTTACCTCTTTTTTGTTTTAGTAACATTTTCCATTACACACACATGTGTGTTTGGTATCTATGGCAACAGCTTTTTGCCGCCTTTTTCCCCCTTTTATTTTTTGGTTGAAAACTTTTCGCTCATTTCCATACAGTTGAAAACAGGGGAGCCCCTTTTGGGGCTTTTGCTTTTGCGGGTTTTGCCGAGTTCGGTTTTTACGCTAATGGATTTCAATGGAAGCGAAACTCGACTTTCAGTCGACTCAAAGCATTCCCAAATAAATATTTAATGCCTGTCTGCATTTTGAATATCTTATGAGGTAAGGGAGAGAACTCTGATTTCGCGTACCTTTACCGTTTGATCAGGAATGAAATTGAGTTTCCTCACTTAAGGCACCTTTTTGCTGGAGAGGATCTTGTTTATGGATTTGGATTTTTTAAAGGTTGATACAATTTCCATATTATTTCGAGGAAGGAAATTTAAATTGGTTTTAGGCTAAGAAAAAAACATGCTCTAAAAATATTATAAAAATGGAAATATAGTTTTATTTAGACATTCTTTTTCTTCATAAAAATGTCAAGTTATATTATCCTGAATTTGTTAATTCATCGTCAAGGAACTCTATTAATATTTCTTTATTCTCTCCAAAAAATCAGAAAAACACAACTCTTTTTTATATCGATATTTGTATTTGCATTAAAATTTACCTAAAAAAGGCAACTAAACTTATGAAAAAAAAAAATATATTGAATTTTCATTTTGGGTTATGTCAGGTTAAGGATCAGGTTCAGACCAAAATCATTGTCAGTTTAAGCACTGATGTGACGAAGACGACGATTCCTGCGGGCCCGGGTGCTCCTTGAGGTGCTGGAACTCGAGGTGGTGCTATTGTTCCTCCTCCTGCGGATAGTTCTCTTTACGGCTGGCTTATTTCTGACGATCTTCCTCTTCCTGCGAATCTTCTTCTTGCCCGATGACGATGACGCAGTGGTGGTGGTGCTGTCCGAGGAGCTGGTTGTTGTGGTGGCGGTGTCGCTGGCCACAGTGGTTGCCGCAACGGTAGTGGTGGCCGCCTCAGTGGTGGTGGTTGTGGAGGTTCCTGTAGCGGCGTTGGTCCTGCAGATCAGCAGGCAGCCAATGGTGGCCAGGAGGAGCAGAACACAGGTGAATCGCATGTCGATGGATGGTTGGGCTAGTGGCAACTGATACCAAAGCCGTGGAGTCCAAGCTCTATTTATACGGAAACCAGAGGGTATTTGCACTTGCCAAAAAGACACGCATACACGCACACACAAGTAAACCAAGCTGCCGAGTTTTACCACCTTTTCTTTGACGTTTCTTTTTATTATTTTTAAACTTTCTTTGCATTTTTGTGTCTTTTGCTTTTGCTTATTTAATTTTCTTTTTATTTATTTCCTATAATAAAACTGAAACCTTGTGTCAAACTAATTGTTTTATATCATTTCTTGTGCGAATTTTAATAAAAAAGATTATTTTTCAACACAATTTCATGGAATATCCTAAACAATTCATTAAAGTTGCATCTAAAATATATTTCTCATTATTCTTCATTATTTTTTAAGCTTATTATATCATTTACCTAAATCCATAAAATTTGAATAATTTTATTTACCGAATATTTAATAATATTTATATTACATTAAATTCATAATTATAAATATAATTATCATTATACTTATAATATTAGATTATTATAATAAATACAAAAGCTTCATTTTAATTATTTCAAAACAGCTCTTCAGACTTAAGAGTGTAAATATTTAATTAAAAAAAATGTATTTATTTATTATGTGCGCATTTAATAATATTTAAATTTAGCCAAGAGCTGGCCTGGCAACTTGCGTAATAACTATTTGAACAATTGCGAAAGAAAAGCACAATGGCGAATTTCTTGTTTGGGCAAAAAACAAATTCGTTTGCAATTCTGCAAAAGACACTGAAACAAAAAACACAATTAAAAAACCCTAGCTATAAAAACTATTTTTAAATTTACGGAAAGGCATTCTCATCCCAAAATATGCAAGATTATAGATTGCTTTCTTCTATATATTTCACTGATGTATAATGTTAAATTAAATATAAAATTGCCAGACTCTTTTCCTGAGATTTAATTTAAGACCTTTTTTTATAAGCATTTTCTATATTTGCCTTAGACTTAGGATAACAACGTTGCTGGGCTTATGAGCTAGGAAAAAAATATTGGTATCTAAAGGAGTCATTGGTTGAGTGTCGGCATCATCGGGATCGGTGACTGGGTGGGTGCCTTTGGGGAGTCAGGACTTAGATCAGGTATCTGCGCCTGCGGGAGCCGCTGTTGCGGGACTTGGTCGACTTGTCGTGGTGTACCCTACGACGCCTAATCTTCTTTGGGAGCGTCCTACGGCGTTTACGGATTCTCTTGGTCTTACCGGAGGCGCTGCTCTTCTCCGTGGTAGTGGTGGCAGCGGTGGTTGTCGTGGTGTCCGAGGAGCTGGCCGTGGTGGTGGTGGTGCCGGAAGCAGCAGTGGTGGTCGTGGCGGTTGCGGAAGTAGTGGTAGTGCTAGAAGCAGCCTCCGACTGGCGGATCGTTAGGATCGCACAGAGCACGGTGGCAAGGAGGACGAATGTGATCTTCATGTTGAGCTACTTGGGAGGATGTCGATCAACTGATGCTCTTCTGGAGTCTTGGAGGCACTTTTATACTGACTTTCGACATGGATTTGAGTTAAGTCTGGCTAAGACTCACTTGCAGAATTGCAAATGGGGTCAGCAGCTTGGCGAAAACAAAGAAGTTTAAGGGGTTCTTGGATAAACAAGAAATTCGCAACTGCGGTTTTTGCACAATTGTCTAAATAATTGTGTAGCTTTGCCAACTCAACCCTTGACTTGGAAGTTGCCAAAGCAAGTTGGACTCTATGGACGATCTTTAAAATTAAATATGATTGTAGAAGTAGTTTTTAAATACAGATATTTAAATCACAGATATTGCTTTGTTTTTAGAAAATCTTCATTAAGAGAATGAAACTGGGTTAGAGAGTAAACTGTTTCTCTAAAAACATGTTTCCAATCAAAAAATATATATATGTGATTGATTATGTTACTTGGCAACTTTTTCTGCAAATTTTCCAGAGCATCCATATTATCAAACTCACTTTTGCAAGTTCCAAATTGAAAGCTTGAGTTGGCAAAGCTACAAAATTATTTAGACAATTGTGCAAAAACCGCACTTGCGAATTTCTTGTTTATCCAAGAACCCCTTTAATGTCTTTGTTTTCGCCAAGCTGCTGACCCCATTTGCAATTCTGCAAGTGAGTCTTAGCCAGACTTAACTCAAATCCATGTCGAAAGTCAGTATAAAAGTGTCTCCAAGACTCTAGAAGAGCATCAGTTGATCGACATCCTCCCAAGTAGCTCAATATGAAGATCACCTTCGTCCTCCTTGCCACCGTGCTCTGTGCGATCCTAACGATCCGCCAGTCGGAGGCTGCTTCCAGCACTACCACTACTTCCGCATCCGCCACGACCACCACTGCTGCTTCCGGCACCACCACCACCACGGCCAGCTCCTCGGACACCACGACAACCACCGCTGCTACCACTACCACGGAGGAGAGCAGCGCCTCCGGCAAGACCAAGAGAATCCGTAAGCGCCGTAGGACGCTCCCAAAGAAGATTAGGCGTCGTAGGGTACACCACGACAAGTCGACCAAGTCCCGCAACAGCGGCTCCCGCAGGCGCAGATACCTGATCTAAGTCCTGACTCCCCAAAGGCACCCACCCAGTCACCGATCCCGATGATGCCGACACTCAACCAATGACTCCTTTAGAAACCATTATTTTTTTCATAGCTCATAAGCCCAGCAACGTTGTTATCCTAAGTCTAAAGTAAATATAGAAAATTCTTAAAAAAAAGAATTAAACTTTATTTTTGGGGAAATCGAAGGATAAGATTAAGCGAAGAAAAAAGATTAAGAATATAGATTACTAATCCAATAAAATTACACTTAAAGCAAAGCAACAAGTCTAGCTAAAAATTGTTTATTATATATATTATATTATATTATTTATTTTCCGCACTGTTGTTCAAACTGTGGAAGCAGCCTTTATTTCCCAGGTCACCTGACTCCTTTAAGACTATATTTTTGCATACGTCTTGTGTGTGAATTGTTTAAACATTTGTCCATCGACTGTGGGTGTTTATTTGTGTGTGAATTTTTTCGTTTTTGCAAACTTTCTCCCCCACTTGTTCAAAGACTCTTTTGTGGCGGGGTTTAAATTTAGCAGTTCGCAATTATTTTGCGGAAATATTCCAGACCAAATTCACTTTGGCCTTTGCAAAAAAGCTGCTTAAATAACTTCGATTGCGTTGATTATTGGCTTACGTGTGGGCTTATTGATTAATGAACTATTTTTATAAATTATTTATTTAATCCAAGCCGGCACTGTGAGGGAATCAGTGTACAGGGGAATTAATCTTGGGCCTCAATTAAATCGTTTCTACTTTTTTATTGTTTTTTTTTATGTTATGTATTAAATGTCAAAGTTGTGGTTTACATAAAACATTAAACACCTATAAATAACTTAAATATTTTGTACATCATTTATTTAGACTTTATTTTCAAGTATACAATTGTTTTTAGCTCTAGAACTTTTAGTTCTACTAAATTTAAAATAATATTTTTTATTTCCAGACATCCCCCAAAGTATAATATATTTTTTCTTAACTTTTATAACAATTCGGCAGCTGTTTTATTATTATTTTTGTTTATTTATTAAATAAACAATCTCACATTTGGGAGACCTTGACCTATTCTGGCTTTTTTGTATTTAATTATAAATAAATGTATAATGAAAAATAGGTAATAGATCTATATTTTAATTTTTTATATAATTATATTGCTCCCAATTTCCTGTACAAAATATCGTAATTATCGAAATTTAAATATCGAAAAATCTTGCAATACTATCAGAAAATATCGGGAAATTTGTATATAATTTATTTGTCTTTTATCAACAAATATCGATTTATTTCCTATTATTTGCAACGTTAAAATATCGATTTATATGGACCTTCGCTACAAACATCGATATAAAATCGATATTTTAATCATTTCTGGCCCTATTTGAATTTCCAGAAGCAGCAAAGACATTACGTAATAAAAAATCGTAAAAATATCGATTTATATGGACTTTCGCTACAAACATCGATATAAAATAGATATTTTAATAATTTCTGGCCTTATTTTAATTTCCAGAAGCAGTAAAGACATTACGTAATAAAAAAAATCATAAATGTTGATTGAAATTACATTTTTTAAAGCTGTTAATCCTTAAGTATAAATTCTACAGATAACGGTAGTTATCGATAGTTCCTTAGATCACTTTTTCTCTTTTATTAAAACCAACACTAAAACAAAACAAAAACAAGCATAATTTCTTAATACTGAAAATAGTCGTGCTTCTGGAAATCCGTAAAGGAGTCAATGTATTCCTCGGGATTATAGTCCACACCATTGTAGAAAACGTCCGATTCGGTAAAGTCGTCCACCCTGTAGAGGAACTTGCAGATGAGCAGCCAGGGCAGCATCCAGAGCAGGAGAGGTGCCTTCATTTTCTTTGCCGTTTACGCCGTATAAAGTCCGAGGAGCAACTAATTAAGGGGAATCGCTGACGAGCAACAGCTCCCAGCTTTTATGGCAGCCATGGCATCGCGCATGTGGGTCAGTTTGAGCAGCTGCCGTTTGGCCCTCGCGGAGCTACGGATGCTGGCAAATATGTGACTAACCCAGTTCCCTTCCTCCACATACCCATAACCATGGTGTACTTTCGGGCGACAAATACAGCGAAAAAAAGTTGGCTAAAAACGGAAGAGTAGCGGCACTTGGGGCGTTTATAGGTGGATTTAAATGTTAATTTGACACAGAAATCCACGAGGTTTTAGGTTTGAAACTAAAATTGATATAGATTAATTTAGATATAGATTAAGCGGTATATTTAGCAAATAAAATTGGTTTTAGTCTAAGGTTTAATAGGGAAAATAAAAGACTAGTTTTCATATTATTTTATTTAATTATCTGCTTAAAAATAATTGTAGCTTTAATCTAAGCTTGGATATATCTAAATACATCTTAGTTATTTCTATTTATTTTTAATAAATAAATTACTTATTAAACTTTTTTCTTATATTTTTTACTTGCAGCTCACCCTTTGAATAAAAATGCATCGGTGGCCACCAAGATAACTCCTGATCTCAGTGGGAATGATGCGTTTGGCGCGCTTCACGCAGAGTTTCTCGTTTAACAAGAATGCGGCCAAGGTGGAGGGGGGCTTTTAATTTATTTTAAAATTATAAAACTCATCTCTTTTAAGCTCCAATATTTATTGGAAATTATTTCTTGTATATTGCAGCATCGCGGCAGCGGCAGCAGCAACGGGAACGGAACCAGCAACGGCCAGAGCTTAGGTGGCAGCTGCAACGCCAACGGCCTGGCAGCCAGTGGAGGCGTTGGAGGGGGCGGCGGCGGCGGCGGCGGCGGAGGAGGAGGAGGCGGTGGGAGCGGGAGTGGCCGTGGTAGCGGCGGCAGCGGGACAGGCGCATCCGTTAGCGGAAGCGGGATCGCCAAGCGGAAGTCAAAGGCGCGAACAAAGTGCTTCGGTGGCACAGTGTTTCGGTGTTGCCTCCCTTGTCGCGGGGGCGGCTCCGCAGCCCCCGCCACAAGTCCGCCCCAAACTCCCGCCCAGACGCCGGACGAGCTCAAGGCCAGGCCGGATAATTATCAGCAGAAGCCGCAGGACAATCAGCAGAAGCAGCACCCGGATAATAAGTCAACGGAGGCCGGTGCCAACGAGCAGCAGCAGCAGCGTGAGCGCCTGCTGAGCAATCCCGATTTATATCCCAGTGGCGAGAAGAAACACTCTCTGGCAGAGACCATAAATACTTCGGTGACCACGCCCATTTCTCTGAAGACCCTCATCAACGACGTGGACGAGGAGGAGCTGCTAGGGCAGCAGCTAAGCGCGGCGGATATAGCAGCGGCCAGTTTGGCCAGCGGCCTTGTTGCCCGTCGAGCCGAGCCGGAAACGCTGAGCGACGCCAGTGTCTCACCCACGGCCGTGGTCCAGCAGCAGCTGGCACAGCCACCTGCCCACCTGGTCACCAACAATACCACCACAGCCTGCTCCGGCAGCCTGCTCAGCCAGGTGACGTTGTACAGCAACAGCCCCGTCAATCAGACGCCAAATCCCACCCAAAGCCAGGCCCAGAGCCCGAGCACGAGCGCAAACCCAAACCCAAATACGAATACGAATCCGAATCCCAGCCAGAGTCAGAACCAAAACCAGAATCCCAACCAGAATCAGCAGCGTTGCAGCTGCCAGCCGCAGACCTCGCCGCTTCCGCACATCAAGGAGGAGGAGGAATCCGAGCAGGCCAACTCGCGGCAGCTCTCCCTCAAGGAGGAGCAGCAAGAGCCAGAGCAACAGCAGCAGCAGCAGCAGCATCAGGAGCAGCAGCTGCCGCCCATTACCATAGCCAGTGGCTACTGTGGCAGCTGCGAGAGTGTCCACCACTCGTCGGCCACCTCGTCGTCGGGTGGAACAGCGCCAGCTGGCAGTCAGCAGACGCAGGAGTACATTGCAGGTACATACATTTATATTTATATTTAAAGTAATAAATTTAAGAATTAATTTAACAATAAATCAAATATTTATAGGCACCTCCTCTACGCCCTCGCCGCGCATCAAGCTCAAATTCCGCAAACCGCACAAATCCTGCTGGTCACGCATCGTCCTTGCGCCCATTGGTTCCGCAGGCGGTTCATCCTCTGCCGGTGGCTCCACCGTTATTGGTAGCAATTCAAACGAGACTTTAGCCTCTAGCAGCACCACCGGCGGCACTGCCACCACCACGCAAAATAGCAGCAGCGCCAGCGTTGCAGCCCATCATCGGCTCACCTCGTCGTCGGCCTCGGCGCTTGCCTCTTCGCACCCGAGCAACTCGCAGTTGCTGCCCACCAGCAAGATGCAGGCGGAGCAGGGTTCTATTGGGGACCTGCAAAAATATCACAGTCGGTATCTCAAGAACCGTCGTCACACGTTGGCCAATGTTCGGTGAGTGGCAAATATTTATTTACAAATTATTTCTAAAAAAAGTTTCTAAAAAGCCACAGCAGTCAACTCGATCTAGACAAAGGCTTTATTTCACTTTTTTGTTTAAACCAGCAAATATTTATTAAAATATTATTTGTAAATGAGAAAGAAAAGTTTCTAAAAAGCCACAAAAGTCAACCTGATCTAGACATAGTTTTAGTTTTAAATCCTTTTAAAACAGCTTAAAGTCTGGTAAAACTTATTGCCCCTCTAAATGAATGCAATCTAAGCTAAACTTTTTCATTCCCCAGTTTCCAGTTTAAAATATTATAATAACTTTTCGCGCGGCCTTCAAAATGTGTCTCCAATTGGAGCGAAAACCGCAAATACAAAACATAAAATTTTTGGCAAATTTTAGATAACAATAACCGTTCTTAATTAGTTGGATTTTTTGGCAATGTTTGCACAACTGCTATTTCGCTTGTTTAGCAAACGTGACCCATGCGTCACTTTTGGCCAGAAAACACAACCACCAACTGAGCTTAGCTAGCCAAACCAAAATGAAAAGTTAGGCCAAGCCAATGAAGACAGCCAATTAGCGACTTACAATGAAATCAATTTTCAGTTAGTCGACTTAATCGAATTAGAAAAGTTTAAGTGACAGAAACTTTGAGTCACCGCAGGAAGTCGGCCAACGAAGAAAAGCTGTTGATTTTCCCTGTAAACGAATACGAGAGACTAAGGGGATTGGGATTGTGAATTGGATTTGGTTTGAGTTAGGGTTTGGGTTTGGTTTTCGCTTTTAGCTTTGGCTTGGGCCTTAAGAGGGCTTGTGTGCGCCTCCTGCCTGAATAAGTTACAGCAATGGGCTCTCAAAATCGAATGGATAATTGAACAGATTGTGGGCTCTGTCTTAAATGCCTGCCAGTTGATAAGTCATCGATATCGACACCTGTTGTGAGGGCTTTGTGCTGGTATTTTTCACAATTAGTTATTGTTGCAAATTATTTTTTGGAATGTCCTGCATCTTTTGGATTTTAGTTTTGATAAGGCTTTGGTTGGACACCTCTTCACAATCGAATGTTTCGACAAAACTCGATCATGAAGTAAAAAGGATGCTTGCAATTAGCTTAAATATTGAATTGTGGTTTAAAGACTTTGTTTTCCAAGTGAATAATTTTTTTAAATTTACAATTACTTTTTATTAAATATGTTTCATACTTGTTTCTAAATGAGTTATTATTATTATGATTGTAGAGGTCGGTAAAGTGCTGTTGGAAAGTGTTGTTGAAAAATGTTGTTGAAAAAGATTTTGGAAAGTATTGAAAAGTATTATAAAAAAGACGTTGCAACGTATTGTTGAACATTTTTAACAATAATTGTTGAAGAGTGTTGTTGAAGAGTGTTGTTGAAAAATATTGTTGAAATAGTGTGGTGAATCTTTACCATAACATTTTTTACGTAAGTATGCATTTTTACTATGCTTTGTGACGTGCTTTAAACCCTTCAGTTGCTATCCTGGCTGCTCCTTATCCAGATAGTTTTTCCTTCAAAACTGTTTTTATTTATTCGTTTTTTCCCCCCTGTTCTCTGTTAACTATCACTGCCGCCTGCTGGCATATCAGCAATTCTCTGAATCGGCAAGGCAGATTGCATTTTTTAATTTCCAACGAAATATTCATTTCCACGGCCCCCGCGCCTCGCCGCACAAAACGAATGCAAACGAAAATATTGTCCCCCCGAAGCACACACACCAATACACCAATCAATTATTTAAATCATGGGAATCAACATAAAAAAACACACACACACACACATGTGTATATTTATTGTGCAAATTCTTGGGCTCTTTTTTCATAAATGATTTTTATGTTGAAAGGAGTTTAACCACGCCTTCTGGCACTGTTGTTGTTGCGGCGCTTGTTGCTGTTGGTGTTGGTGCGGCGATTACTGTTGTTGGTCCTGCGATTGCTGTTGTTGCGCTTCTTGGCAGCGGCCTGTCGCTTCTTGCTGCTGTTGTTGTTGTTGTTGTTGCGACGCCTATTGTTTTGGGCCTTCTTCCTGTTGTTGTTGTTGGAATTGTTCCTTTTTCGCCTGGGGGCCGAAATGGGAGTATAATCGGCATCGGCATCAGAATCGTTATCGGATTCATCAGCTCCCAAATCGGAGCCATCATCCAAATCGGAACTATCTCTGCCGGAGTCAGATGACGAGGAATTATCCGTGGTGGGCGACGTGGTGGTTGATCCTACCGCAGCAACGGTGGTCTCGTCTTCGGCATCGGTATCGGTATCGGCATCAGAACTGGTATCGGCACTGCTATCGGCATCGGTATCGGCGCCCATAATCGTGGCTACAAAGAGCCCGAGGAGCAGGAAACTCAACAGCAGCTTATTCAACTTCATTTCTCGAGAACTTGTCTATTTTCTCTGACAACTCGTCTAATGTCTAGTCGCAATTTATAGACAAAACTCCAGGCGGCGGCTTATTTGCCCAAGCGAAGGCCGCCATAGCAAAAATTAACAGAAATAACAAAAAAAATCTGTAGAAACAAATGTCGAATAAAAAACAATAGAGGCGCGGGGTGATTGGTCGCCAGATGATGACGCCATTGGTTAGAATTTGATATTCTTGAGTCAGGTGTTTTTTCTTGGATTTTTAAAGTCTTCAAAAGAAATATAGCTGGTTCATTTATTATCATTTATACAAATAATAGCATAAATATGTTGTTGTCTTCAAGAGCGTTTAAAATCACTTATCACAGTGAAATTAATCCAATCTTAAATACAATAAAGTAATTACAAACACAAAAGATCAAGCTAAATATATACAAAACTATAAAAAAAAGGAGAACGCAAAACAATTATTAAGTCATTTTGTACTTAACTCGTAATATTATTCAAACAGCCACGTTTGATTTGCACACACAACTGGCACACGCAATTTTTCCACAACTCTTCCAAAAATAAAAATAAATAAAAGCAAAACTAAATATTTCGAAACAATAGTTAAGAAAACCAAACAAAACCTCGATGATCAAGCAGAACGTGGAACACTCCAAGTCAACAGCTGCGGTTAAGTAAACGAAGAAAGGCCAACTCGTGTTGGAGTTGAGTTGAGTTTAGGCCAAAAATGGAAAACAGACCTTTCCATCCTGTAAATATTTGAGGAAGACCAGCACGAGGCAGCATCGTGTCCACTTGAAAAAACTACCAAATTTTTTTTTGTTATTTAATATTAAGTTTTGTCTATATTTAAAATGAAAAATAAATTAGTTTTTCTTAAGAAATAATTCCAATAATTGCTAAATTAAAAGCTTTGAATATTTTGTGTAGCTGAAGAAAGTCATAATGTCTGCTGTTATTCACCAAATAGTTTACCCCCACCTTGGTTGCTATTGCAGCTGCTATAGCAGCCTCTGCTCACCTGCTGCCAGGTGAATTCTTTTGTTCAGAACATTTAACGAGGGGCGGTACCTTATTTCCAGCCCACTAAACACAAATTACACATGCAATTGTCGCTGTCCATGGGCGGCCCCCACAATGCTGACAATCCCACACAGATCCAGAAAGCCATAGACCCACATCGCGTGTGTTAATGTTGCCTATCAACGGAGGGACCACTCTACACTGAACGAAATAATCCTATATTGAACTAGATGCATTTTTAGCTGGTTTTTTGTCTTACTTTATATATTTCTCTTGAATTTTTTATGTATTTATATATATATATAAAAGTATGAGGTAATTTCTCTCTGTGCATGGCCCATTGTTTTTGCATTTTGCACGCCATTTCTGCGTGGCCACAGCGGAAATGAACCTGCTGACAATGCAAGGCGGCAACTGTACTTTGGCAGCGGCACACTCACCGGTCCACCAGTGTGCGTGTGCGTGCGTGTGTGTTCTGTGTGGGTGAGTGCAAAATGTTGTATTAATTTATCACAGGAAGAGCCTTGAGCTGACTCGTCCTCAATCATTCGAGCCTTCGGATTTTAAAGGAACATTTTGTTGGCCAAAGGTGGGAAAAGGCTCACCTGTTCAGTTTAAGTTTCTTTAAATATTTTTTTGGAATATATGTTTAAATTGCCTTTAAAATATTTTAAAATTTAACTAAAAAGGGGACATTTCTTAAAAAAAATATTAAATATTTAATAGTCAGTAAAATATAATTAAAATAAATTCGTTTCCATAAAAAGTCCATCTTAAAAGCTTTATAAATCTTTGGTAAATAATAATACTCCTTGATACAAGAAGATTTTTAAGAATATCTTGGATTTATCTATGATTTTATAGATAAAATACAAAATATTTTCATTTCCTTTTAACTCTTAAATATTCCCCCAAAAATTAATTAACTAAATGAGCTCATAAATTTTTAAATAAATACCATAAAAACGTGGCAAAATAAATATTTAAAAATTTCCCCCCTTCGACATTGGTATTATGTCATTTAGAAGGCCCAATGACTCGAAAATAATAATTATTATAATGAGAACCGCACTGGTTTATATATATATTTATATATGCATACACTTGGCCCCGATTTTAATTACTTCCATAATTGTGGGCGCCATTCGCCGCGTTGCATGCCCCATTTCATATTTCTTGGACAATTTGATTTACATAATCTTCATTGATGGCAATCATCTGTTGCGCACACGGGCCCCTTAACCCATCGAAGCTTCAGAGTCCCGAGTCCCGAAGCCCTTAACCCCTTTAGACCCACCAGCCATGCATTATTTAACTCTTTTGTGACATTTCCGCCCAACTGGGACTGGAGCTGGGACAGGGACTGGGACAGGGACTGGAGCTGGGGGCGGCTGGGCTCTCACAATAATTCACGCTTGAGTGGAGCTCCTTTGCTGGTAGTCATTGAACTTCAGCTAAATGTGTATGGATATTATATATAACAATGGGGGAGGGGGGAGGGGTAGGGCTAACGAGAACTCGAGCGCCTTGAGCCTGCCCCAAAATAACTCGCAATTAATCAATACGCCAGCAGGCCTTAAATATTGTTTCTTTTTTTTTTTGGCAGAATATAATGAAATTTTCCACAAAAATTCAGTAGATAAAAGTCTCAGCAGATGAACAGACATTTCTGTATACTTTAGAATTGAATTTCAGTTAAAATAGAAAATGAAGAAGGCTTAAAGTTAAGAAGATTAAATGATTTTCAGAATTAAATATAGAAAGGTTTAAACATACAATGAAAATTAACAATAAATAAAACGGAATTTTATACTTTAATATAGAAAGAAAATTAATTTTGTTTATTTTATTAAATATTTATAAATATTTATTTTAGTATATTTATTGTTTAGTAAGTAAAGTAGTTATAAATATTATCAATAATTTAATTAAACAGTTAAAAAAGGATTATTTGTCCCAATTTAAAGGGATATTTTTTTTTTAAATTTACAATATTTCAGATAGAAGTTTTTCTTAAAAAAAAAATCCAATTTAATTAGAAAATGTTATTATATAAAATCAAATAAATTTATTATCGTAACTATAATTTTACTTAATTAAATTAATTTTTGAAAATTAAATTTTGTATTTATTAAATTTATTTATCCAAATTATTAAATTTCAACGATAATTAAGACTTTCCATTTTAAATGAAATATATATTTTTTCACATTAAACAATAGTTTAAAAAACCAAGTTTAAAAAATAAATATTTTTACTTTTAAAAGCAAAGTTAAAATAATTAAAAAATAAATTATTGTTTTATTGAATATTGAATATATTGAATTTTATTGAATTTATTCATATTTGACGTTAAGTATACGCCATGTTGAACAGCTTTAAAAAGCTCAACGCAAAAGAGCTTTCATGCTCAAAGTTCTCATTTTATTTTTCCTAAATTCACAAAATTTTTTCGGTAACTTTCTCCTTTCACAACACAAAACTTTCACCACACCCCCGCGAAGCTTTCCCCAGACATTTTTACCTGGAAAAAATTTTTCACCAGCTACACCTCAGCCTATGGCCAAACCCCAAAAGCTTTTAAAGCTAACGCCTACCTTTAAGCCAAATCCATTCAACGATCCCGCGAGCTATTAACGGGAATTGTGCGGAAATTGACTGCCATAACCTTGACATTCGAGGTGGGCTAGGCGGAAGTTGGTCCAAAGGTTAGCCGCTGCACCTGACAGCGGCACGTTGGTGCCTGGTGGCTGGTTATCGGGGTGCTTGGTGCTTGGTGCTTCTCGCCTCACAATGTCCTCGAGGAGACAAATCAAAGAGTTCGCCGCCCCCACAAGCTGCCAGGCAAATAGAATCTTGCCGGTAAAATAGGAATATAAATATATATGTATATATTATGCACTTAGCAGCCAATTTCCCCATCTCTTTGAGGTTGAAGACCAAGGCTACACTGGGAAAATAAATGCACTCTAAAAGGGGTTAAGAAACAGGGTGATAAGTAAAAAATAAAAGTATATTTTGGCTTGAGATTATTTGTTTTTTAAATACTTGTACGTAAATTCTTGGCCAAAGGCAAAAATTTGCTATTATTTAAATATATTTTTTTTTAATTTTTTATAATTCATTTTTGTTACTGTGTCAAAGCGTAGCAAGCACACTCCGTTTGTGCACCATTTTTGGGTGGATAGTTGCCACTGCGGTTGTCACCTGCCAGGTGTTTCTGCAACACAGGATATTGCGGTTGGAGATGTGGAAAAGCCAAAAGGTTTTTTTCTTCGCTCCGGGAGTTATTCAATATAAAAGCAAAAAAAGATAACACTTGCTGAATATAAAAAGCTTGGTCTGGACAGAGGTTTATATCAATTAATTACCTTTTAATAATTTCAAAATTAGAAAAAGGGAAAAAGATGCCTTATAAATAACAAAAGAACTATTAAAACCAACTTCACATATTTTTAAAAATTAAATAAAAATTTAAATACTTTCTTAATAATATTTTTAAATAAAGCATTTACAAATAATTTCTTAAATAAATTAAATTAAATATGAGTCATAAAGTAATGAAACAAAAAAAGCATAATTACTGGACTTTTTCATCAAAGGCGAAGAACTCTCCGTAAAAAAATTATAAAGAATATGCAGGTGCAAGGCATACCTGTATTTTTAAGTACATACATATATGTTCGCATTCATGACTCAATTATCTGCAATTGTTATTTGTTTGTCCTCATTTTACATACGTAATGAAGTCTGGTTCACAAGCAAATATTTTTCGTATTCCATGTGAATTTCTTGGAAAATATATACCCCACCGCCCACCGTCATGTCCACCTGCAGCCCAACTGAATTAATAACAATTTTCCCCACTTATTTCTGTCTTTTTCTTTCTTTCAGGTGAGTTTTTCATGTTTTGACTGTATTTTTGTGTGGCATAAATTGTAAGTAAGACAAATTTAATTTAGTTATAATTAATACAATA